CACTTTATCCGATGACGAAGCTGCACAAAACATTCAGATATAAGGATCTTAAGTTGTCAGGGCCCAGCCGAGGCGCGCTGGCTAAGCATCTGTTGTCCAGCGGGTATGATGCTGAGCAATCGGGCCTTTCGTTGAAGGTCGAAAGTTGCGTCATCATGGCAAAAATGGCACCGTGACCTTCTGCTCTGATAAAGGAGAGATTTGACGGCAGTGCGCACGCTGAGCTTTTGTTGAATAGAAGATTGACTGTCTAGATCAATCAACTTTTGCTTTAGACTCGGATAGTCAGATAGTGCCAGCTTCAACCGTTCGTTCGCACGTTTTACTGCATCTGAGATTGATCGCGCCGGATTATCGTGTTGTCGATTATGCATGATCAACTTTCACAGTAGGAACAAGCAGCCGGATCCGCCGGCCTGAGAGCACCCGCGCCTTTGAGATCCTGATTATGATTCGTTGTCGTCCAATTGCAGATTACTCCGTCAACATCTACCATGATACCACTGGCCACCTCCGATTCGCAATGCTCCTCGGCGGCCCCAGCAACACGCAAGCAAGCCTGGAGAAGGCCGCGGAAGATGCGCTAAAGGCGGGTGCCGCTGGCGGAACAATGGTCCTTCAGAGTCCGGACGGAACTCTGGTCGGTCGCCCCTTCGGAAGCGCGTGGTGGTCGGACGGAAGCGGATGGCAGGTCAGCGGAACTTCGGCTTCAACGCTCCCTCATCCCTGTTCTACGCTACTTCCTTCTCAGGGTAACATAAAAGCGAGGAACAAAGTTCTGTCTCCTTATACACGCTTTCTTGGGGCAATCATTCGAATCCTGCACTGTACTGACGGCCTCGTTTACGGTCATATGTTACATGAGGCCTTCCAGCTGCTCGGCATAGCTCTTGACGAAAGAACTATCTCATCGTTCGTAAGGTGCTAAGACGATTGTACATCGCTTGCAGGTCATTCCAAAGGACTTCCTCAAGTCGACTGTGATCCAGCTTTCCGACGTCGTGGTGCCGAGCACAATTAAAGCTCCCCTTCAGATTGTTATGAATCTGAAACCTACTTCGTGGCTGAAAGCACGTACGTGAAAAAGTCAGTGAAGTTGATGCTTTTGAAACATACGCGGTTACATATTTTTCATACGGTTCAGCGCACTGGAGGTAGTTCAGATTAAGATTGATGCAACATAACGATGCAATAAGCACTGCTTGTGATTGATCTGCAGCTCAAGTTAATCAGTTCGCCAATATGCATGCCGTGGGAGCTACATGATGGCACACTGATACAATGAAATGTCGCGTCAGCTGCGTTCTGAGGAAGACAAGTCTTGCAGGCGCAGGTATCACGTCCTGCTATTATTTAGAGGCATCCTTGCACAGCGATTGAGAATACAAAGGCGAGCCCAGACACTTCTACTCAGAGCGCATCCAAGTTTGCTCCCTCCATTGTTTGACGGCTAACGTTGACGTCCTCCTACATGCCCTTTAGCTGAGTACCGCCCAATTGCCATTGATTTCGACCAGACGCATGATCTTTATTGTGTGATTCCTACGTCACGTGGGCTGCTCCTATAGGTACAGCCGCAACATATTCCGGCGACGTTGTTCCGCCGGAACTCGTTGCTAAAAGAATCATGGACCAAACCCCGAGACCGAGCGCGGCGGCGGCCGCCTTCGCGGGCAGCCAAGGCGCCCGCGCGCTTCGGTCCTGACGCGGCGCACTACAGTAGGTTTTAACGTTAAGGTCTGAACTGCTTGCCTACAGAGGTTCATAGAACCGTTCTATGACCGGCCTCATTTTTTCACCGCCTGATCGTGATGGGCAACTCTTCTAGCAGTGAACAAGCCGGGGCGCCCTTGCTGACCAGGGTTTGTGAGCAGGGGCATCATCTCATCCTGTTCACACGTTCTCCGACGCGACCTGTACGAGAAGCTGACCACCTCCCACTTCCTCATGGCGTCATCACGGTGGAAGACAAGCCTACTTCCAGCCTTGTGCCCTTGCCTCTAAGGCGTGCTTTATAGACGCGCACAACATCCTGGAGGTTTATAAGGACGCCACCTGCCCAACCGAGCTCCATCTAGCCTGTCCAGCAATAAGAGGGCCCGCGAAATGGCTGAGCTGCACCAACTCAGGTCAGCTTTTGTTCACGACCAAGGATGCAGAGGGTACGAGCTGGAGGTTTGGGGGGCATGCTTTGGAGTCTGCAGTCCTCGTTTGTGTTAGGAAACGGGGGGCAACTTTCAACGTCAGGATTCAGCCTATCATGAATAAATGGTACATCAATTGGGGGTTCTTTCTGGGACTTGAGGAGCTGAGACCATACGCCTTGGCACCTTCTGCTTTGCAAGGTCTTCAACCGATTTACAGCCGGAGACGTGGCAAAAGAATATTGAACAAGTAAAAAATTGAGAGACCTCGTACTCCGGCCTGCCTTTCTGTGGACTTCGAGCTTGAGCCTGGCAGATGAAACACCAATCAGACAGAAGCTCGCCTCGTTGACTAGTAGGGACTACTTTCAAATAACTATGCGTGAAAGCCGACTTGTCAAACGGTGTCACAGATCGATCACGCCGCTCCTTTGTTCAACAAAGATGAAGCGGCGCTGAACAG